TGTTGATCAAAATAAAAGAGGAAAATAAAGGAAAGGAGAAGAAAGAGAGTTCATGGTAGGAAAACTAAATTGCAGAAAGAAAGTGTGATGCTGCTGCGAAAGCATGAAAATGTAGAAAACGAAATAAAAACTGAAGCGTAAAACTAAACTTAAAAGAAACTAGGAAGATGAATTTTGGGGCAAAGTGCAGTAAATTGAATTGCAAAAAAAACTAAATATATCGGGTGGAGATGTTCATAACAAAATAACAAAAATCAGAATTAAAACTAATGACAGCGTAGAGCTAAAGACTAAATTAGAAAAACTGTTTAAGAGAACTGGATTTAAATTAAGACATTGTTTGTAAAACTAAAATGTAGATAGCACTGGGCTAGTTGTGTGAGAGGCTAGTCTCCTTTGCTTGATTTAATCATCGGGTATTTATAGCACCTTGGCTGCATGGTGGGGTTGCTGCTGTTATGGAAATAACCACTCAACCTTATTCATAGAGATTTACTCCAACAACTTTCAACCAATGAAGTTCTTGCCAACATTGATGGCACATGGCACCATTCTATTTTTTTGCAAAAATGGGTGTAAACAATGCCTCCCAAAACTTGGTTGCATGACTTCATGGAAGTGGAATCAAGTTTTTGAAAATTTTGTTCCTAGCACTCCTCACCATGTGGCCATTGTAAAGGAAGCATGATGTCTCTAAGAACGTAGAAATTTGATATTGTTGTTTTCTTCAGCATAGCGTGGAATATCATCTGGTAGACACAACTAACAGACACAACGGCTTCATAGATAAATAAGCCAGCTAAAAGTGTGTCTACAAAAAAAGGTAAAATATAGTCTCCAAAAAGAACAATTCCATGAATTCCCTTGTTGGTTGACTTGGAGACATAAATCAAGCATGCCTCCATAGACAGCATAGTGTCTTAAAAGCAATGCCATCTCATAGCCTTCCTTAAAGCCGCTCAACTGCAAGATTATTCACACTAATTGTAAAAAATTAAAAACAAAAACTAAATTAAAACTGATCTCCACCCAAACCTGACTTAGGCAAAGAGATTATTTCCACTTCGATCTATTGCATGACTTATAGACCGAAGGGCAACATGGCTGAAAAGGTAAGCCATTTATTTTTGTGAGTTGTAGACTACTGTCAAGGTTTTGTAGCCAGTATGTACCTTCATCTAATGCCTTGTGCATTTGCAAATATTTCATATTGTTGGCAGAATGTCTCTTGGGTGACATGCTTTTAACTGATGACAACATGCCTCTTCTTGGAATAAAGGTTGCAACATCTTTTTTATGATCCCTCATTTTGTTTTCTTTGGCAAACATGTTTGCTTTGTTCTTTATTGCCTCTTTGCTACTAGAGGCTGCATCTTGCTTCCTTGTGAAAACAAAAGGGAGATTTGGAATGGAACTTGGAAGTTCAATAATAAACTCACCAAGGCTAATTGTTTTGCTGCTGACATTAAGTTCCTTAGTTGCCTTTGAGTCATTTGACTTGAAAGGAACACACTTGGCAGACGTCTTTCGAGACACGATTGCATTGACTAAATTTTGATTTGCCTCTTGAGAAGCTGCACT